TGTGTGTGTGTGTGTGTGTGTGTTTTCTTGCTAATCAGAGATGGTTGTTCTCCCTTCCTGGGTTTCAGATGGCAATCTAGACAGTAGGGTGGGTATCTTGGTTCTAGAGAGAGGAGGTAGTGCCATGATTTTTAGGTGAGCTGAGAGGTTGCCATGAAGTTTAGGATGGAGTAGTAAGTTCTAGAGCAGGGAATGTGCCCAGCCCAGTAATGACATACTTGAGGTGCTCAATTAATGTTTTTGAATTATTAAGTTTCCTTTTCGTGGTCAGCTCAAGGCATACAGGGATTCTGGGGTTTGGGTCTCTCCCTTCTCTGGGGAGTCTCCCTCCTCCTCGCCCCCACCTTTAGATCTTGTCCACTTTCCCTGCAATATGTTGCAACTTAGCTCACATTCTTATTAGAGTTAAAACAATTAGAATGTTTCCTCTATGACAATGTACATCAAAAAACTGTTTTAGAAATATTTTTGTTTTTAGAAGAGCCTGCTCATTAGCTGAAATTAAATTGTAAAAGGTAGAATCAAGGAGATATAATAAAATAGAATGGTGCATGCATTCCTGGTGTTAAAATCTATCTGGAAAGCTACTTGGAAACACAGAGCTTTGGTCTAGTAATTTCACTTCTAAGAATCTCTCCAAGGAAAAGAATATTTTATATGGACATAAAGATTTGTATCAAAGAGTGTTTTTTAGGCAAAGGCTGCAACCCTTCCACTCTCATTCCCCTCAGGGACGGCCAGCAGCCTCTCCTCTCTGCTGAGAAGATCCCAGAGGCAATTCTGGCTCTGACAGGGCTGAGGGCAAAGGGACCTCTTCTCAGCCAGTTAGTGGTCTCAGGAAATGATCTGAACCCCAGAAATACTACCTTTGCTCTATCCCATGTTCACTCCAGATTAAAAAATAGTCTCAGTACATTTAGCTCAGAAGGGGGAAACTAGAGAAAGATAAAGGGGACATTTCCTGTCCTGTTCTCAGCCTTGTCTATTTTTTTTTTTAATAGCTATATAGTCTGTCTCACATAAACGGCATGGGCCTCAGAACTCTGCGTATTAAGAAGCCTTGTTACAGAATACTATCATCAGATACTCTGCAGACGGTTTCAAAGACCGTCTGCAGAGTATCTGCCTTATTTTAAAATTTCATTGAAATGCTGCATTTCTTATTGTTATATTTCCTAAATCAGGATAATTTAGTTCAGATCTACGATTGGCCTTTTTGGCATAGGTATTTAGTTACATCCCCAGAAAACGTAGCTTTCAGAAAACTAACCAAACTTGAATTCATATAATAAAGTGCATTTTTGTTTCCTTCTCTCTCTCTTTTAGAGATAGGGTCTTGCTATGTTGCCCAGGCTGATCTTGAACTCTTGGGCTCAAGTGATCCTACTGTTTTGGCCTCCTGAGTAGCCGAGACTACAGGCATTTGCCATCCTACTTGGGTCTTTTTCTTCTGTCTTAATAACCCCTTCTTTATAACTTCCACTGAATTAATTTTTATTATTATTATTTTCCTCACCAACTCTCCTATAAAAATTCTATCTTCTTGCTGATCCTCTTTTTTCCACAGTGTTTATTGTGATTTTTATGTTTGTTAACTAGGTACGTGTTTATTTCTCAAGGCCTGGCCCTCTAGGCTGTAAACTCCAGGAGAGCAAGGGTCACGGCTACTTAACACTCTGTGCCCACCGTGTGGCATACAACAGATACTCGTTACACACTGCTTGATAAATAGATAAATTTGCTTTTGAGAAAAAACAATCAGTGCTTACAATAATGTAGACATTTGATCTTCCCTGCGTTATGTTACCTTTAGGTCAGCATAAGGTTCTGCGATAGTTCACACAGTATAAGTGGAGAGCAATTGTAACCTCAAGCTAAATGCATGTTAGGCCCCTGAGTTAAACATGCTACCACCTACGAAACCGTACCACTCCGTGATACAGAGTCTTATGTTTTGAACTTCGAAAAAAAGGTTAACTCTTCCTATGAAGAATATGCAATATTTTTTTAAAAGCCAGAATGAACTACCCCACCACCCCCAATACCGGAAAGAAAAACAAAATCTCCAAAGCAAACCTTTCCAGGAACTGTAGGAAACAAGATTAATAAAGCGTAAATGCAGTGATTAGAGCAAAAGTCTGTTAATAGCATTTTTTTCTCATTGATTTCTAAAAAACAAAAAAAGATATGATTATTTAATGCTATAGGCTTTCTCTATTGTTACAAATTGATACAATCTTTTTTTTTTTTTAAAGTAAACTCTCCACTCTATTTTCTTGTTTCTAAATCTCATCTCACTGTTGGAATGAATTAGAATGAGGGGGAAACAAATAGAGCAAACCAAAGTTCTGGAGAAAGTCTGTGTGTGAACTTTATTTCATCATGAGAAAATCACTTCTGTGCAGGAACAGAGCACTGATGTCTACATGATGAGAGGTTTTCTTTGTATTCATATACATACCTTATATTTGTACACAATATATAAAATTCATGGAGGAAATTAATTTCTACAGTACAGTTTCTTTGTTGGAAGAGAACTTGTTCCGTTTGTTTCATCTAGAAAATGACCCCCAGTTCTGTGACTGTGGTACCAAAGATCGCAGTTCCAATCCTGTAATTTATTAAATTAGACACCATAATCTCATGAACATTAAAAGAAACTGAGAAACTACATCCTCCTGCAGGTGACACGAGAGACGTAAGTGCTCTGCTATGCTAACAACTGAGTTTAGCAGAATAGTATGGTTCCCACGAAGTATTATGAAAAGAAATAGTTTTCCCGCAGGTCTGATGACGGGGGTAGCAATACTGCCGCACATCTCTCTCTGCTGTGCTGCCACCACGTCACTCTTCAGTCAAACCACCTGTACACACGTGGGCATGAGGCCATCCCAGCAGAGGCCTTCTGCATTGCATCTAGGAGAGACTCTCGGAGGACTTTAGCATTTAGCATGGTATTTTGGGAAAAGAGGCAATTTCTCTCACGCTGGTGGGTCATCCCAGAGAGAAGTTGCTAAAATGGTAATTCCGGGGCAAGGGGCTCTAACTAGCACATCACTAAGCTCTCCCTGGGACGGGTCACGTGGGCGTTTTCCCTTGAACAAATCCTTCTCTTTCAACATCACCACCCCTAGACTTACAACTGCACCCAAAGCACTGTTGTCACGGGGTTCAGGGCTTCCCACCCTGGCCGGGGGGTTCAAAGTTGTGCTTGATTTTAACCATGTGAACTGTGTGCAGGGTGACTGGCATAGGCTGAGGTTTGTGGGAAGTGGGGAAAAACCCCAACCACAGTGCTTTTTAGCTAACATTTTGACTTGAGCCAAATCAACCTCGTGTAGCAGAGGGAAATTATTGAGAATATTGAGGGGGTGACGTCTATGATTAAAATGACACCCCAAGGGCTCAAAACACTTGGGCACTGGCCACAAACACTGCACGTTTAGTTTTGAACGTTTAGTTTTCATGTGTTAGGCTTGCTTTTAAAATGAAAATGTTGAAAGCCTCAGAGGTTATATCTGGCCATCAAATTCAAGCCTCTCTTCTGAGATGAATTGCTTGGGTTTGATGACCAAAACATTTAAAGTATAGTCAAGAAACAAAAGGTTTCTTCAGATGAAGCTGGTATGGTGGCCCCCGGCAGCCTCACCCAGACTACAGGGACTGGCAAAGGGGAACGTGGCAGGAGGGGGACGGCTGGTCTCTTCCTGTCTGGTGCCCACAGGAAGTCTCAGTCCTGGCGTCAGTGGCAGGGCTTTGGGTAGGAAATGGAGCGGGCCACGCCAGTGAGGCCAGGAGTGGCCAGCAGGCCCTCTGGGAGCAGCTCTAGCCCCACGCCACTGGAAACATGTTGGGCCATTCAAATGCACAGCGGGACAGAGCCCAGCCCCTCCCTCAGGAGCCAGCCAGCACCTCAGAGAAACTCAGAACCTTCCAGGCGGCACGAGTGGAGCAGGGGCCTGTCTAAGCCTAGGGGCATTCGTCTCACACACCGGGGCACATTCAGGCCTTCATCTTTCAGCGTCTTCAACTGCAGCTGATTTAGAGCATAACCAAAGGAAGCGCCGGGCCAGCCGCGGAGCGGCCGCAGGGCGTCCTCGGTCTGCTCACTCCACATCCCACGGGCTCTAAAGCGGGAGAGGAAGAGCGGCTCTGGGCCGAGTGCAGAGCGAGTCGCGGGAGGACGTCAGCCAAGTGGGCAGGTGGGGTTACCTCCAGGCTGCCAGCCTTAGATGCCACGCAGTTCTCGCTCTGAGGGATACTGCTGAAGGGCCTTACCCTCGGACGTCTGCAGGACCAGGGTCTTGCTGTACGGGCTGACTCCTGTTTTGTTGAAGGCCTTGACCCGGGCGTTGTAGGTGCTGTTGAAGTGAAGCCCGTCCACGGTGCACATGGTCTCCTTCCCCACGTACACCTCCTGGGGGCCAGCAAACAACAGGGTGTCACCGAGGGTGGTCCCTGCAGGAAGCCCTGGGGGCAGTGCTGCTGAGCGGTGGGGAGCTCCAGCTTTGGCATCGGTCTGATCTGGATTTGAACCCTGCAAGGTATCAGGCCATTTAATTTACCTTTGTTAGCCTCTTCCTAATCTCTAAAATGGGGAGAACAACGTCCACCTTATGAGGCTGGTGTGAGGATGCCGTCAGCAGACTGGTCAACACAGCCCTTGTCCTTAGCATGGGCCCAGAAGCTTAGTAGACAGCAGTTGTTAACGGACAAGACCTCAGAAGTTAAATCTGGGTGCTTATGGTTAGGGTTATGCTTACTAATACTAACTTGGCATTTATCAACATTGCGTGCCTACTCAGTGCTTTACCCACCAGTATGGTTTGCAAAAAAACATGCTTGAGGCTGAGTGTGGTGGCTCACACCTAGCACCCAGGGAGGCTGAGGCAGGTGGATCACCTGAGCTCAGGCATCGAGACCAGCCGGGGCTCAAGAGTGAGACCCTGTCTCTACTAAATAGAGAAAATTAGCTGCGTGTTGTGGTACCTGACTGTAGTCCCAGCTGCTAGGGGGGCCGAGGCAAGAGGATTTCTCAAGCCCTAGAGCTGGGAAGTTGCTGTGAGCTATGACGCCATGACACTCTATCCAGAGTGACAGTGAGACTGTTTAAAAAAAAAAAAAAAATGCTTGAACAAAATGAGAGTGGTCTCTAGACTCTATTTATAGGTTTGCTGATAACTTTAGGAAATGTCACGGAGACTAAACTCAAACCCATAGAAGTCTAGGTTTTCATTACAGTATAGGGTGGGGGAGGGGGATGGGGATGGGAGGAAGAATGACATTTCAAAGGCTTAAAATAAATCCTAGCATAACGCATCATCAGCATAGGTCATGCGTTCACTTCTTTCTCCAGCTGTACACTTTGCAAAATTATTCTGGTGTAATGAGTAAAAATAATTTGCATTTAAAGCTCAGCCTTAAAATGGCAACTCTCTGGTGGGTTACTAAGAAGATTAGGGTCTTGGATTGCCCATCAATTCATTACGACTGTAGTAGTAACAAAAATCAGAATATTATGTCCTCTCACTGAGAATGTCTCATGGTAGGTGCACAAGAATAATGCGAGGATCCCGTTAAAATGAAATTTCTGGAGTAGCATTGAGATTTTGCACTTTTAACAACTTCCTAGGTGAGGCCCATGCCACATGGTGGGGGGACAAGACTGTGAGTAGTAAGGCAAGGGCCGCCTGTGGGGACCACACCGTGAGTAGTAAGCCAAGGGCCGCCTGCATGTGGTGGGGCGTGCAGGGCTGTTGGGCTGGGACCTTTGTGGAGTGGTCCCGTGTTCTCAGGGTGACCTGAATCAGAGAAGGAGCCCAGGCGAGAGAGCCATGGGGAGATTAGAAGGGGCCCTTCTTTATTGTTATCAGGACACAAGGGGGGATGGAGGTGCCCGGTGGAGCTAAGATTTTAAGTCTGATATCTCAGGCAACTAGGGTATAGAAGAGACAGAGCTATGGTTTGAAAGAAAATTACGGGTTAGTTTTGATTTATGCTGAGTTTAAGGCAGTTTCAGGAGGTAGAAATGGAAATGTTCGGGCCCAGGTGGAAACCCAGGCCTGGCCCTGGGAGGGCAGTCTGGGTGAGGGATGGACCGGAGGAGTCAGCACCAATGGTGGGTGGAGGCAGGACAAACAGGAGACCTCGGAGAAGGGGCCGTGACCAAGCCGGCACCTGCCAGGTAGCAGCAGGGAGGAAGATGTCGGGGAACGATGAGAATTACTTCCCCAGGAGAAAAAAATAAAAAAGGGAAAAGAAAGGTACTAAAACAAGAGCTGAAAAGGCAGAGTCAGAGGGGAGAAAGTGGCGAGCAGACAGGAGTCTCTGCACAAAGTGCACACACCCACGTCCACACACACCCTGCGAAAGACGAGGAGGGAACCTGAGACCCTTATCTTGGAGAGGAAGACACTGGGTTGTGTGATGCCAGTGAATCCGCACACACGTGAATAAGGCTTCTGCACCAAAAGAGAGACCTTTGTCCCTGAGAACTAGAGAAGACATGGTTCCCACTCTCAAGTGTTTAAACTGGTGAAAAATCAAAAACACATTAGAGAAAGGATGACCTTGACAGGCTATGCTCTTGAAAGCTGGAGGCTTAGGTCTGGCCATTGATGGCCAGAAGGTAGCCTGGTCCTCTGGGGCCTGGGGCTCTTTGTGGACCTGGGCCCATCTTCATCAGTGCAGGGGCTGGGCTCAGGACCCAGAAGGTTCCAGGCATCAGATCTCCCAGGCCAGCCTGGGGTGAGGGGAGGGGCTGGATGAGAAGGGGCTATGCACGTCATCCCCTCTTTTACATCCATACACGAACTGTCAACTTGCAGGCTCCACAGCCATGTCTTAGCAAAAGGCGAGCCTGGCCCACCTACAGAGTGGGCTGTGAACTTCTCAGTGCAGTTAGGGCTCCCTCGCTTTCAGGAGGTAAAGGTCTGCTGGGACCAGTTCTCTCTGGTGAAAAGCCCAGAAGAAAACCATAAAACAGGGGACATGTTTGCTAGAAAAGGTTCTTAGAACAGGGAAGCTGTCATAAGAGAGCACGTGGATTAAAGGAACTGCAGTCAAAGTCATTAGAAACTGGGAATTGCGGAAGTAAATCTCAGACAGGGGTTAATTATGTTACTAGCAATAAATGATAACGGGAATGACAGCAGCAGCTGAGAATGCGGGCTTCCCAGGTTCTGGGCAGCATGCTGGGAATTGAATACAGATCATCTAACGGACTCTTGGCAGCAAGGCATGACACACGCTCTTGCTGTCATCGCCCTCTTTTACAAATGAGGACCTGGAGCCTCAAAGAGGCGAGACACAGGCACAGTTACACAGCTCCGTGCCGAAGACCAGATCTGAGGGCAGCCCTCCTGCCTCCAGAACTCACAGTACTACATGTCCTGTCCCTTAGGAAGGGGAGGACAGTCATGGAGACCTGTCCCTTAGAAAGAGGAGGATACTCTCCGTCCATCCGTGATGGCACAGAGGAAAGCAGGGCTCCGCGGAAGGGCAGGCAGGCCCCAGAGAGATGGGGAGCCAGGCCTGAGTCTCCCGGGCAGCCCTCTGGGGAAGCATCTGCATTCAGATTCACAGACAGTGGGTTCTCTGCTTACCCGGAACTGACCACCGTTGCCATCGTCCAGCTCTAGGATGTACCCTTCGGCGGGCACCCCGGACAGAGGTGGCTGTTTCCAGGACAGAGTGGCGCTGTTGTTGTGGGTGCAACACTCCTCCAGCTGCAGGATGGGGGTCGCAGGGACTGGAGAGGAAGCTAAACAGAAATTAGCATAACCCTAACTTCTGTCAGCTCACAGATACTTCAGTGTCCTGGAAAGACGCACATGGCCCTGTAAACACGTGCTTAGTAGCAGCCCCTCTGGGTGCACAGTCCCAGGGCCTCCAGCCTTATCCAAGCTCGAAGTGGCTCTTCCCACCTTAATCACAGCCGTGGGCGGGGGTGGGGGGGTTGGGAGGGAGACACTTGTGTGCATTCTCACAACTGCTCTGCTTGTCACCTCCCTAGGGACACACCATCCCTAAAGGACAGGTTTCACCTGGGGGCTGGGTTTCCAGTGCAGCCTGTTTGACACCTCATAATGTGGCTGAAGTTGTGCTGATAGTGTTATCATAAAATTTATTCTGAGATTTAAAACTTGGCTTACAAACTAGGGAAGACTTATTCTGAGAGACAGCTCTGAAACCACTATATTCTAATATCTCATCACTTTTTAAAAACCACTGAATCTGCTCCAGATCTTGTACATGTGAGTAGTGAAAGCAATGCATTTTTGAAAATTTAGTAACAAATGACACAAACAGCATTCTCTTTGTTCCGAGGAAGGTGACATCATTCTCTCAGGGTGGCTATGTTTTGAAAGCAGAGTGGGCCAAGTGCCTTCCTCCTGCACCCAGTGGCTGTGAGCCTGGGAGGGGTGACAGGAGTGGACTGGGCTTGATAAGCAGGCTCCAGGTGTCCTCACAGCCTTGGGAGCTTCTGTCATGGTGTTGGCAGTCCCAATACCCCCTCCCCACCTTTTGTGCTGAGATTTTCTGTGTTACTTATAATTGTAAATTAGCTGGGCCTACAGACACACAGATGTGGAATGATTCTGGCTCCTAGTTCAATGTATGCAACTGGGAACTGCTGGAAAATTGTTAGCACCAAAACATTAATTTATTATTACTATTTTCACACTTTAACAGCAGGAGAGAATAGCTTAGACCATGCCTGGGACATTGAGAGGAAGACGGGTATGCTGAATTAGGGAAGCTGGGCTCTGTGTCCCATGCACTGAGTTAAATCTGCTCCTCTTCCGTCACCTCACCCAGGGAGAGGTTTAATTTAATAGCAGATTAGGAAACTGAGTCCACAGTGGATAACCCAGAGAACAAAAGCAGTGGCTGTAACGTGTGAGTTGTGAGGGGATGTGAAGCAGGTCGGTTCTCTCCTACTAAGACAAGACTGTGAGACATTGCAGCAGGATGCGTCTGAGCCAGGAAATCGGACATGATCGTATCAAAACTCCAAACTAGCTAACTGGAGGCGATCAGGTTAGGAAGGGAAACCATGTTTTAAGTTTCACGGGTACAGAGTTTGGATGGAATCTGGAACGTCTGGACGTGGAAGAAGGGAGATAAATTCATTGGTTTATTCAATAAGTAAACCACAGTCCTGTAGGGACAGAGCAGGTGACAGCAGGCATCGCCGTCCTCCTGCCTCTGAAAATTCTCCTCTTGGATGCGAGCAGACAGCTGTTACTATTGACTACCTTGAAAAAGTCTGGCAGGGACAAGGTTCAAAACTAATTTCGTAACCGTGGCTTCTTACACCAACACTTCCAAATGTCTTCCTCTTGTAAGGCCACTCACTCTATCCCCAACTCCATTCCACATTTTCCTTACTTGTTTAATTATTTTCTCTGACTTTTCGGATGGTGAATATCCACAACCATCCTGAATTCCTCTGTATGAGCACATGGGAATGAGGGGAGGACAGGCTGGACTGGGAACTGGGCTCGCGGCCTGCATGGGGAGCACGTGTCAGGAGGCTGGACTAGAACTGGGCTCGCGGCCTGCATGGGGAGCACATGTCAGGAGGCTGGACTGGGAACTGGGCTCGCGGCCTGCATGGGGAGCACATGTCAGGAGGCT